TTGGATCCTAAAGAAGATCCCTGGTTCACACGTGAGGAACTCATGAAAACAGCACCTCAAGTGATTGCAGGCTGCGAAAGAGAACTAAAAGGGAAGATGCCTGCAGAGTAACAGACTTCTCAGAGGACTAACGAAGTAAAGGAGGAGGGAATGCGAGGATCTGGGTCCTCGGCAGGCCTAAGAGGCCCCGGTTGCAGTGGTGCCCGCCCTAAGTGAAGGCGGGCCTAACTTATCACAAGAGGCCTTTGACTGTCAATTTCATATTTGGCAGTTGCGACGCGCCAGTTGGTTGAGAGAAACACAGGCAAGACATTCCACGACCTTCTGGGCCTTTCCGAAGAATGCAGGCCCTGGGCGAGAAACGCAGCCTCATACACTGACAGTTGGGAGGTCCAACCGAAAGCGGCCCAGTAGCTGCAAAATAGCACGCAGCATCCTGGGGCCTACCGAAAGCTTCTGGGCCCAGCCAACCCAGCCAGGCTGTGAAGCACACAGGCTCTTTCCATAAAGGAAAGAGCTCGCCACTCTCAGCCTCATTCAGGCACTCGCATGCTAGCGGCAGCGCTGCTGGAGCAAAGGCTCGTGGGCTGCTGCTGGCGCTGAGAGGCGAGGTGCAGCACGTGCAGTCGTGCAGGGAAGAAGGGCGCTGCTGAGGGCAGCGCCATAGCCCAGCCACCATAGCTGGTGGGCTTGGACTACAGTGAGGCGCATGAGTGGTCTTCGGGTGTAAGGGAGGAAGACGTGGGTGTAAAGTCAGGGAAAGGTGAAGGATGATGATGATGATGATGTAAGGGCACATACCTTGTATTGGCGATGGTCTGCATTGGGCGACATATTCAAGTACTTCGGGTTGCCACTGATGTCAACAGTTGCATTGTCAATTAGTAGGCTGATAATAGTTGTGTAGGAGTAGGCTGGGCGCTGAGCGCCAAGTAGGAGAGTGAAGGGACTGGACTCTTGTGCTGGTGTGGAGAGAGAAAACTCTCCTTGACATTGGTTTTCAGTACTACAAACCTCTGTTGGTGTATTATTGGTGCAATGCTGCTCTCTGGACACGGTGTGACTATCTGGCTTTCAATGTGATTGTGTAATCTGGCCTTGTCATCTCGCTGTTGCTTATTTTCCTTGCATATATATATTTTCAATTTTTTTTTTTTTTTTGGTAAGGATTTTTTTTTTTTTTTTTTACAAGAATGCAAGGAAAATGAGCGATAGCGAACTTCAGAAACCAAGCAGCATCATACACATGAGACCAGATAGTCGTGACCTCGAACCAAAAACAGAATTGCAACACGAGTCCCACCAAATAAGAGCACAGCAAAAGCTCACAAGTGACAATGTTCGATTAGTCTCATCATCATCAACAGAGAACCAATGTCGACATCCTATCTGGCGCTCTGCACCCAGACTAGAAATGGCAGATCCTATCTAGCCTATCTACAATGCCGCTGGTGACGTCAACAGCTCCCCGAAGTACAAGCAGATCTCAGCCAATGTCGTTCGCCTCAAGCACCAGGTATGTCTCTAGTATCACTCACAACCTCGATCCCCCACTCACAGATGCCACGTGCACCCAAGGACCACCATGCGCCCCATCCAGCTATGCAGCGCAGCTCGGCTATGGTTGCCTGCCTCTCCCTGCTCGCCCGTGAGCGCGTGAGCCTGGCCAGCGATTAGCACAGCAGCGCTTGCGCAGCATGCAGCCAGTGCCCGAATTAGGAATGTGGGGGCAGGCACTTTCCTAAATGGAAGTGGCCTGCCTGCTGTGCACGACCTGGCTGCACCGGGCCCCAGCCTAGAAGCTTCCGGTAGGCCCCGGGAGGCTGAGCCTCAGTCCAAACGAATCAGGCCCAGGGGCTGCGGTGGTTACTCATGCCCAACTGCCCGCAGCCTGGGTTCAGTCCATGTTGTGTATCTGGCCCAGGGCGTGCCTCAGTTACGTACGATAAGGGCAGCCTGGGCCTGGGACTTCCAACCAACTGGCACTGCGCAACTGCCTGAATTTCCCCATTTGCGTGGTAGTCCTAAACCTAGGTCGGGCCTGCCTTCACTTACGGCGGCCGACCTTGCTGATAACGGGGCCCAGTAGGGCTTACCGAGGCCTGGTGCCTCGCAAGAACGCAACCATTCCATTATATGCTGGAAAACGGGTCCGGCGTTACTCAAACCCTAACTGCTACTAACCAGCCATTGAAAAGCAAGTACAGTTTAGAGAAAATTTGAATCCGGAGCTACTCAACTCAGTGAACAAGAGGCTCCCTACTACCCACCAACTAGCCAATATCGTCACCAAATTTCAGATCACTGTGCCCCAGTAATCTAATTATTATCCCCTACTTACTCCACAACCCTAATACGCTAATTAAGAAGCGAATGTAGTTACGATTCCCCTACAAAAATACTATCTCTATTAACTATTTACATTTTTCCTTCCCCCCTGTCAGATTACTATTCCCCAGTGTTCTAATTAGTATACCCTAATTACGCCACAAGCGCCGCCAGTTCCATAGATTATAAGGTTCTAATTCGTCAATTAAGAACTGAATGTAATTCAGCATACAAAAGTTCACCCAGTCATATTACTAACTACATAACAAAAATGAAGACAACACCATATGAAGCTGACCGTTGCAATCCAAGTCCTTCCCGCCGATGAACGGAACGCCGGCGACATGACCAAATCAGGGTCACCAACCTGTGAGCTCATGTGCAATTCCACTCAATACTGCCACTGTGTTAGTGATAAGACAGTACTAGTGCCGCCAGGGGGGGCGGCGTCTGGGCAACGGGGGATCGCATTGGTTCGTCGGATGAAGGCGGCGCTGTGCCAGAACTTGTTGGTGGGGTGGCGGCGCGTGGGGGTGGAGGGCGCGAGGGCACTGCGGGGCACCCGTGCAGAGGGCACTGCCATGCCTCTGCCATGGGCCAGTCCTGGCTGACAGAGGTCAGCAATCCTGGTTGACTGTGAAAGGATAGGAGAGTGATGTGGGGACAGTCAGCGGGCGGGATCTGGACGTCGCTGGTATACCAGAATTATGAACAAATCAGGGGGCGCTGTCCCCTGGTTTCAGATACGGAACCCGAATGTTGGAAGAGGATTTCAACCTCGCTTGGTGACACTGATTGAAGTGCCCGGCGTTTGGCGCTGTGCCTGTGTTTGGGACGACAGATCGACTGATTACGCTCCTCCCTTGCTATTGGTGCATTGGTGCTGCTGGATGAGATGTTTCGGCCCGCGATTTGGTAAGGAATTTTGATGTGACCCTGAGGCAAAAGTTGGTCACTTTATTTTTCTGCATAACATGTTTGTTTTTCAGATTTGATTTTTTTTTTTTTTGCTGGGACCCTTTTTGGCCCATGCACGGCCGGGCCGCCCGGGCAAACAAGGTGATCCAGGTGGCCCAGCTGGTAAATTACTAATTTACTATATTATATTATTATTATAATAATCATGGCTACTCTGAACCTTGACACCAGGCACATCCGGACAGCAGACACCAGATGTTCTGGACTGGGTCTGCACGTCCAGATCTGATTCGGACAAGGGGTTCCCATAAAAATAGCTCCGCAGAAACTCTATGATGGTGGGCGGTGGGGTTTCCTACGGAGAAGGTGCAGATTAGTGGAAGCGGCTCTCCCTAAATCGCAGGGAGGTGGGTGGGTTAGCGGGATCGTTGACCCCTGCCGTGCGGGAGGTAGGTGGATGCTGCTGGAATAATGAATTAGGGTTAGTTGTTCATTTCGTCTCAACAGGGTTTATGTTCCGTTATCATCCACAGTCTTTGGCATAGAATGGTGAGCATCGCTCTGCAGGGGCTTCGTCATGGAGGGCGGCAAAGCATCCATCAGGGAGTAGGTGCAGATTGAGGGAGAGGCTTACCCTAAATCGCAAGGAGGTGGGTGGGTGGGTGTTGCGGGGTCTTTGTCTGCAGTTGGGGGTCTGTGGGCACAGACCCCTGCCGCACGGGTGGCAGGGAGGGTTGGCAGGGTGGTAACTTTGGATGAATAGGGGACATAAAAATGATTCTGTAATGTTGGCTGTGTGTTACCTTTTCTTCGACATGGGGTTCGTCGTGAGCAGTAGTCCTGTTTTTGGGCTTGACTGATGATGTCTCGCCCCTAAACAGGACCGTGGAATCTTAGTGAGGGAAGCCAGGCCCGACTCCTGGCATTGTAATATAAGGGACGCCAGGCCCGATTCCTGGCATTGTTATATAAGGGACGCCAGGCCCGATTCCTGGCATTGTAATATAAGGGACACCGGGCCGGTTCCCGGCTTTGTTCAAAAAAAAAAAAAAAAGTTTATTACCTTTGTTTTCCTTTTGATTTCTTCTGTCAGAATTTGTTGTTTAATTCGAAAAGTAACCCTCGGCCAGCTTTTGTTCTTTGACAAATCAATATTTGAGGGAGGAGGTAGGGAGGGGGGGTGTACAGGGGGCTCTCCAGATGCTGTACAAGCAAAGATGAGGGCAAGGGGAACGAACTGTTTAGGATGAGCAATTTCAGGCAGGCACATGCTGTGTGTCACTGTGTCTCCATGGGTTGGGCTAGAGGGGGGGGGG